CGAAATAACTGACGCTGTTTATGCTATACTTAAAGTACGAAGAGCCCCAAAAACACTGTCGTTTGGTTTTAGGGCTTTTAGTATTTCGATCGTAACCGAAAAGTCGTCAATTATTTCGAATTGAGCTAGTGGTGGATTTTGAAGAACGCACTTCATTCTACAAAACAAGACGCTTTCCAGGATTTCTACGATATTCCTTCCAAATATTATAGGATAGACGAAAAGAGAAAAAACGGTAACGCACAGACACTCCGGTAGCAGAGTTAGACGTTTTTCATGTGGGGTGTTATTACATTATATTACATTATTTTACAGTATAAAGTTTAGAATGAGAAATAATTTATGATATATCTTTGTGAAAGCGGTACTTTTAACTTTTAGCCGGTGGCTTGTCCAATGTAAAAGACTTACCTTCGACTATTACTAATTTATCAACGTATTTAAAAGAAAATAAATTCATAGAAAATAATCCGATACCATCAGCAACTATAAATAGAAAAAAGAAAAAAATTCTAGTACCTCCTCCCATCACTCGTTCATCCTCCTCCTCATCTCATCACTCGTCCTCCATTGATTTATTAACAATGACTGAACGTCAAAAAAAACGTCTTGAAGAAAAACGTCAACGTGATGTACGACAACAAGAATTAAAACGTTTGCGTGTATCACAAGAAATTCAACGTGAATTGGATGAAATTGATGTGAAAAAAATTGAATTAGAAAATCAGCATGCTGATATACAAGAATGTTTGAGTAATAGAATTTTTCTTACTCTCAACATGTCGTTAATATTCCAGAATTTCTTTTATAATTTAGCTCTTTGTGATAAAAATAAACAAGTACATTGGGAGAATGAATGTTTGAAAATTGTTCAACAGAAACATGCATTGCAACGTCTTGAAGACGAATATATATTTGCTCAAAAAGCATTGACGTTAGCAAATGAACAATCACAAACAGAACAAGAATTACGAAGGTTATATAGTCTATCAGGTTAATTGGAAATTTTACTATCAATAAAAATAATACTAACGTCAGTTTTGATTATCGTAGCTCAACAAAAAACAATTAATGATAATCAACGTGAAGAGCAACTTCTTGAAAAGAGTACAAGACTAGTTAGTGAACGTGATCGATTGACAAATGAAATTGAGCAAATTCGACTCAGGTTTGTAAATTCAACTGAAGGTTTTCCTTTCCCGTCTATTAACAATCTAGATACTCTAACAAAGTAATATGCTGGTATCAGTTCAAAATTTTCTTTTTCCAGGTGTCGAATTTTTCTTAAGCAATTAAGGTGAGAATAGAATATGTATTATGATTGTTGTCGTATTATCAAAAGTTCAATCATTTGAATACTAGTCCTTAAATCCTCCTTTTTCATAACTATCGTGCTATCATAGTTATCATAAGTATCCGATCTTCTGTATTTCTCCCTATACTCATATGAGAGAATAACTTGACATTTTTCCAGGTATAATGCTCATCATTCATAATCACTTCTGATCCGATCAGTATTATTTTCGAATAAAATTGAAAGTGGTACATTTATATAAGAAATATTAATTCAACAAATTGTAAAAGTATAAAAGAAGCTGTAGCTAGCCTTATTCAGTAAAAACGATGCCGATAATGCAAAGGAAGACCGTCTGTACTTAAAAGCTTCCTTATAAAAGTATTTTTTAGTCATCTGAAAGCCTACTACATATTCAACTATAAGACTTTAAACGTGCGCATTTTGATCCCTTACACTTCTACTGTAGTGTTTCGTTTTGTTTATGGTTATCCTTTAAATTTCATATCCAAAGAGGCTTAATCTGCAGCACCATTATTTAATTTCTTCACATTTTCAATGTCCATTCAGTGATGAACCTTGAAACATTATATAGATAAAGTACCTATTTATATAAAGAAATTATTCGCATTTTAGTAGAATTAAAGCATATCAGGAATTATGCAGCTAAATGGACCAAAAGTGATATGATGACTAAAGCTACAATCATAGAATTTCAAGTTACTATGTCATATAAGTCTAGAAATACTAGTTATCGGATATTTATAATAAATACTGAAAAATCAGTTTGCACCTCATTAAACTAATAAGATAGAGGAATCACAAATAGTAATTGAACCATGTGTAGTATTGAAATATATAGTTGTCTAACAGTTTGAGTGTAATACTATCGTAGTGCATGTACTTCTTGTAGGTTTTTATTGTTGTTTTCTATGCACTATGACCGTTTTATCCAGGTCGGCACTTTCTGGATGTGCAGAAGCGGAGTTAAGTGAACTCGAAATGTAAAGAAACTTCCAGTAATGTGACAACTGACCAGCCTTATACGTATAGAGATTTGAAAATAAAAGTAGCTTTCTGCTACAGTTGGAACTGAACATTAACAACGAAAAAATGACAGAAATCAAATTTCTTAACACTTCCACTGTCCATGTATCATATATGAATGAAATTTCATTCATATATGTTTTCATTTATATTCATATATATGGACAGTGAAAGTGTTAAAGTGTCGAGTCGCTTAAAAGTACATTTCAAAATCTTCGTTATGGAATAAACAAACTTGTGGGATGTTTTTCTGAATTCTTTCTCATTTTGTTCAGTAGAGTGAACACGTTTTCTACTCTAGAAGTTGCATCGATATGAATTAAAATAATCGACTGCAACAAAAAGTTCGGCAACAAAACGGGATATCGGAATTTCATTAAAAACTTTTCCATTAGAAAAGCTTTCATTAAAAGGATGTTCATTAAAATTTTCAATGAAATTCTTGTGCTATTAAAAACTTTTTACGAAACTCCAGGTCACACTCACTTTGCAGGCGATGTTTTAATGAAAGTTCGATGAACGGAATATAAGTTAAAGACCCGAAAGTAAGAGTATTTTAAGCGGAAAAAAAATTTATGTATCGCTAAGCGACGTGAAATAAGTGTCTTTTGCTAAGCGATATATATATATATATATATATTAGATGGAATTCTTGCGCCATCAAAAAAATTTTAATGAAACTCCTGCTAGAACTTTTGTAACGAAAGTCCTAGTACTTTTACTAAAAAAACGCTTTAATGAAAGTCATCCAATACAACCAAACTATTATTATATTAAGTTAATTACAATAAATATGACCAGACGTTTAGTTTTTATAGTCTAATTAAACAAACGTCGTCCCATCTGTTGTCTTGTTTATTGTGATTTTGTGATTTTTACCCTACACTGAAAGGTAAGGGTCTAGGAACTAACTGTTGTCTTGTCTGTTTCATCTTCAAAAACTCGTCTAATAATTGATGATATATGCATCTCGAAATAACTTTTGTTTTGTTTTTCAATGTAAATTTGTCGAATGATTCTAGTTTGTTATATACTCTAAATGCTATTGTTGCATATCTCCATATGTCGGTTTTATTGAAATAAAAATATTCATGTTTTTTGTCAATGCTAAGTATGTTAAAAGCTATTGATGTATAATAACATGTTTGTGTGATTGATGTGCGCGTTTGTATTTGATTGTTGGTAGATTCTTCTCTGTGTGCGTGTGAAGTGTCTTACACAAATATTCCAATACAAAACATTTTCGTTTGTTATATTTCGTTTTAGAGAACTTGAGGAAGATCAACGAATCACAAAGGCGTATCAGTTACATGGTGTACACCAAATGCCAAGACTTATCTCTGGCGCACTTGATATTTTGAAAGATATTATTTGAATCGTATGCACATGCACACTGTTCTCTGTTTTTTATGTTGTTTGCTGTTTTTTTATATGCGCGCTGAATTGTTTAAACGCTTTTAGTTTGGGAAAATATTTTTATCACATTATCCGTCCACAAACTCAAAAAAATTCTTAGGTGTGCGAAGTGATGAGTTAAGGAGAAATCTTTTTCTTTGCTATTATATTTATATAAATCTCATTTATTGCTTTTGCCATGTTTATTGTATTATACTGTACTTGTATATAGTTGACAGACATGATACTACAACGAATTATCGAAAACGCTTAGTATTACTTCCGTTCCATCATAACTCTTTTCTCGGAATATAAGGCTGAATGATTTCTTTTTTGTTCCCCCCATTCGAAACAATCATTTATTTCTATGTTGTCTCTATTTTTCTTTTACTTTGAGCCATTTTTGATTGTTTTACTGTTTTTCTGTGTTTATACGAGTATAACTCTACTTTTATTGTGCTAAATTTTCAAAGTGCTCTTTTTGGACTTGATGCTTATTATTATATTTTTTTAATTTACTGTCTCTGAAAAAACAGTATTTATGAATGTCTCTATCACTCAATTTTGCTTTTTCTACTGTTCGATTTTTTTTCGACGTTTTGTTGTTGTTGTTTTTTTAGTATCATGTACAATCCTGCAAAAAATTTTCAAAACATTTATTGAACTGTATTTTTTTGTTATTTTTGATTGTTCTTCATATATTTATAATAATCTCGTAGAAATGAAACATATGCTTTTGCTCTAGCCTCTATTTCATTTTTATATAACTTTTTCATCTTCACTATTAAAATATCGATTGAAATTACTTGATCATACGCTTATTCAGTGCTACATGTTGCAGGTAGAACTATAATGGAACCGAAGCGCAATGAGTAAATGACATAATCACTATACCATTCGTAAAAAAGTGTGTAAACACAAAGTAGCAGCGGTGAATTGATTAACGAGTTAAGTGTTAGTATGATAGAGAATCGTACAAAATGGCTTTTCCTTACATTTCGCCTACTTTCTAGGGCTGTGACAGTTACCATTATCGTTACAGTAACTGTAATTGCTGGTCGGTTACCGTTCTTTGTAACGGTAACGTGCAAGCAGTTACCGTACAAGTAACGGTAACTGTTCAGTATATCTTTCAAGAGTTAAATCTCTAAATATCTAGGTATCCAGGGTGAGGGTGAAAGTTCGTAGCCTCACCCTCACCCTGGATACCTATATATTTAGAGATTTGACTCTTGAAAGATATACTGAACAGTTACCGTTATTTGTAACTGGTCGTTACCGTTACTTGTACGGTAACTGCTTATCCGTTACCGTTACCAGGAACGGGAACTGTTCAGCAGTTACCGTTACCGGGTAACGGTGGTAAAGGTAACTGGTAACTGTCACAGCCCTACTACTTTCTTGGAAAAGTCTGATTTATTCTGATTACAACTAAAATCCTCATGCTTGATTTTTAATCTGCCATAATTTTGACCTATTTTTCAACCTTTCCTCCGCCCTGGGTGTATTCATCTTACACTAGTGAGTGTATTCCTCTCAATAGGATAATGTATTCATCTTATTCCGGAGGTGTATTCATCTTGAAATGGTAGTGTATTTACCTTAAAAGACAGCTGCGATTTTCGTTGCTCCTCGTATACCATTCCCAATACCATCTTTCGGCTAATGTAGAGGAGTTTCACCATTAGCCCTACAAGAGGCTGCCCTAGCAAGGTTTTTTATGTAGCTCGATATTACGTTTTGAAATCTCACTGGACATAAATTCTAAAGTGCGTAATGGAGAGAGATCTAATCAAAGACTTTTTGTCTAATTGGAGTTTTACCTTTGTCTGGAATCAAATGATGTGGAATTCTAGAGCAAGATGTGGTCTACAAAGTATAAAAATACTCTTCTGAAAGACTTATTGAAAGATATTGAAGAAAATCCGTTTTTTCTCAGTAGGTCGTGCCAAAGATTAATCAACGCCGAAATGTGATGAGTTACGTCTCGTAAACTATAGAAGACAAAAAAGTTGACTTCTTGCACGGTAACAAATCCAGTGTAGATAAATAAAATAAAGAAAACAATTTTAAAATTACTTCAAAGGAAAAAATCATACTCTTTTTACATGTAGAAAATGAACAGTGCAATAACTATGCCATTCACTCTCATATATATGAGTGATGAGAGTTTTACAGTTAATCTTCTTGAGCTTCTATTATTAAAGTTTATTTTGCTGATATCAAAGTATCACTAACGCATGAGTATTCTTCTTTTTATTGCCTTTTAAACAGACACAAAATGAAATAAATAAATAACTCGGAAAAACAAAAGAAAATGAAATAACAGAGTTAATGCACAACAATAATGATCTAAAAACACACACAAAATAAAATGGAATGTGAACAAATTCCTGAGCTTAGTTTAAAAGACGAGAGAGAAGAAATACCTCATATATTTATTTATAAGTCCGATTGTGGACAATTTGAATCTTTTAATTTTGTAATTGATGTAACTGTTTTTGAAACCGCACCAACAGTTTCATTTAAAGCTGCTGTGACATTGATATTATGAAGAAGTTGTATGTTCTTTTTCACCGATGGTCTACCCATATTTTCATTTGGTTTGTTATAGGGAATTGGTCTTGTAAGAGCAGTAGTGGATGGTGTTGATTTACGATTAGGAACAATTGGTTCTTTTACTACAAAACCATTTGTACTCGTATCTGTGTGTTTTGACATAGGCATCACTTTAGCTGTTGGGCGTTTAAAAAATGATTCATTTTGATATATGTTTGACGTCGGAGTATTACGAATAGATCGGTCGGACGGTGTAACTGTGACGGATGAATCGTAAAACTGTGTCGTTAAACGCGTAGAGGCATAAGCTGATAACGGCTGAAAAAGAAAAGAATTGAAGTTTAATTGTTAAAATTAATGTTTCATTCTGACTTACTCTACTATGGTTTTTTGATGATGTTTCATTTGTTGCTGTTTTAGGTGATATAGATGGTTTAAGATCATCCGTTAAATAAAGCGCAGCGGTTGAAATAGCTTGAAGAGGCGATGTCGGTGGAGTATCGTTACTAGCTTTCATTATTCCACGAATGGGCCCAGTGCCTGTGAGTGCTCCGCAAATATAACGAGCATCACCTTTCTCAACACGTTTAGCATGTTTATTCTCGGTTGATAACGAATCTTTTTCAACCGTGTCTCCTATAACTAGCTCATCTAGAAATGTAACACTTTTCGAACGTTTTTTGTTTCCCGAACTGAATGGACTATTTGTGGAAAATGACGTCGTTTCTCTTGGAGTTAGAGATGTTGATTCGACGTTTCGTTGAGTGTTATGTTCACTATTTGATCTCGATTGCTCTTGTTTTTGTTTATTTGACGTCGGTAATGATACATTTGACTTTTGTGTTTGTTGTTGTCTTGCAGCAATTTCAGCTTCAATTTCTGAACGTATTTCATCGAGTGTTGTTGTTGGTTTCGACTTGTTTTTTGACTCATACGTAAGTTTACCGAATCTTGTTGATGATGACATTGTTGTATCAATTGATAAATTCTGCATACGATCTGGAATTTCATAGATATGAGTTTTGTCATTTCCATCGTCCTCATTATCGCCATCGTTAAAATTGTCTTCATCTTCATCACTGAACAATCGTTTTGCTTTCATTGACGATTTCGTGAGTGTTGATGATCCTGTACTGTCTTTCACCCATTTTTTTCGTCGTTGTTGTGTCTGCTGTTTTTCTACTTCAGTATCACTGGCAAATTCTTTTTCTGTGCGACGTTGAAATAAACGAAAACGGCTTGTTTTTGACTTTGTCCCAGTTCCACCACCCGTTGTCTGTGTGGAACAATTTGAATCAATCGATTCAGTATCTTCTGTATCGAAACTTTGATCGTTCATATACATAGCTCCTCCGGTTTTCTTTGCCGCTTGTTTCGCTTTAATACTTCTTAAACTTTTCTTTTTTGATGAATCAAGTATTTTGTTCGACTGCTGATTAGCATTTTCAATATAAGAACTTTTATCTACACTAAGTACATCTACAATTGTATTTATCTCACTACCAACAGTATTTGGAACACTTTCACATCGTTGTCGTTTCGTTTGTACACTATCTATCGTTTGATTCACGTCATTTTCGTCCTTAGAAATCAATGTTGTTGGAGTACTATTTAATCGTTCGAGTGATTTATTCGATCGAGTTAAACTTAATCTATTTAACGTTGCCCGAAGAAAACTGCTATTTTGTTTTTTCTTTTTATCTGAGGGTCTCATTGTTGGTCTTTGCTCACATTCGATTTGAACGGTCAACAGTTGTGCTGATTTTGTTGATCTAAATACAGAGAAAGAAGTATTGATTAGAAGTCACAATTATAATGCAATTTTTCAAAGTTTTATTTTTTTATGTAATGCTTCGGAATATTTGAGCTTCATTCCTAACGAAATCGTTATGATACGAAACTAGTGACCATAATAGAATGGTATGAACTCACTTGTCATCCAGCTCATCATCAAACGAATCATCGTCCGTATTATCATTTGAGTGTGGACTTTTTTCTATTTGTGCAAAATCCGGTTGGCCATCAGCATTTTTTTCTTCAAGTTCATCGTCGAATGAATCATATTCTACTGCTGTTGTGGCATTTGAATCTTGGATAACTACGGTTTTATCATTATTTGATTGACCCCATTCAGGTAGATCCGAAATGGCATAGAGAGACTCAGCACATGAACTCGATAATTTTGTTGATGTCAACAGTGATTTTGTAAAAGGTAAATTAGTTTGATTCGTTTTTTTATCAGAATCTGTTGAATAAATGCTCGATGTTTTACTTGTACTATAGGTATAGGAACTTGTTGAACCGCCACTGTTGTCAATTACGACAGGAGCCATTGGCTGAATGACGATATCATCGTTGATTTCATTATTGTAAATATGTTCATTCAATTGTTGTACTGTTATTTTGGTAGTAGACGATGTTTTTAAGATGGATTTTGGTGGTGAATCTCCAGAAAAGTTTACATAGTTATGCTCTGAATCGGTGTTCACAGTCGTAATTGGTATTTCAATACTATCTCGTTTAGGGAGTTTACTATTATTGGTATGTGTTGTTGGCTCAATTATGGCCGTTGGTTTGTCCTGATACATTTTTCTAAATGGTTTTGGAATACCATTGCAAATGGTGCCTATTGGATAACTTGTAAACTCCTTTTTAGACAACAATTGCTCTCCTTCTTGTTTTGGTGCTGGTATATCAGTGTAGGCGTTTTCTTGAGCTGTTGGTACACAAGTAATGTTTTTTATTGTTAATACCGAACTTTCACTTTTATGTGTTAGACGCAACGATGGTGATCGGCTAGTGTTTACTGAACAGGAGCGTAGATTCGGTATATTTTGATAAATTAATTGATCTTGAAGTGTTGGTGTTGCTAGACCAGGCAGAAATATTCCTAGACTTCGTCGTTGTTGTTCTACGGGAGACGGTGGGGCAAGAGTCGATGCACCTAATGGTGTCCGAGATGAACGAGAGCGTAAATTTATTTGAGATGATGGACGCGAATTAAAACTAGTAGAAAACGATGATGAATTAGCCAGTTTTGATTGACTATTTGTACGTTCGAGTTTATCTAACAGTGAACCGTTTTTTTGTTGCGATTGACCACTTTGTTTAAGTTGTTCACGAATAAGATCAACTGTTGTTAGAAAACCATTGCTTCCTGCTTTGTCTGTATTTGCTTTCGATTCACTCGTTTCTTCAAATACAATACCTACACGATCGATACATTCAGAAAGATTTTTCATTGGAATTCCATTTTCAATTGTCGATGCTATTGTAGTTCTCGATTGAATACTGATACGATCTGGTGTTATGGTATGAGATTTTTTCGTGAACGAATCGTCTGTAGTCAATATTTTACCACCCGTTGTATTTTCTCTTATATATCGCTGAACATTAAATAAATATGAACTTTCCTTGTGATGATTTTGATGATGAAGAATGAGAGCATTTTTTGTCATCGCTAGAGGAGATTTTGTGACCGGTCTCGGATCAGATACTTTATTTTTAACCAATGTTTGATCGAACGATAGTTGGTCATTTTTTAATTCATTTTGTGTCGAATGTATTCCATTCGAGAGAGGAAGGGATGTTGTAATAAGTGGCTGATCCGGTGACTTGACGGGCGTTAATATGTCATTATTTGTGGGGCTACCATTAGGTAAGGACGATTGCTTGATCAGCTTTGATGGTGGTTGAATTCTCGAGCATTTCGAATCGTTCGACAAGTCATCGATTGATAATGCTAAAACACGATCATTCTTAGATAATTCTGCGTAAATTACTGTTTTTTCATTTTGTGTTTTTGCTTGAGATCTGTCGTTTGTCAATGAAATTGCATTAGGTGATTGCAAGTCCGTGCAGACCCTGTTATCTTCCTAAATCAAGAGTAAATTAGCTTATTAAAACGTTTCTTTCATCTATTTTTGTCTCTCACCTGAATAAGTGGTTTAGTTAATTTAGCTGAATTCAAATGTTCAACAGGACAAGGTTTGTTTCTTGGAGAAGTTGCTCGTGTGACTTCATCTATACTATTTCCATTTTTCTGTCCGTGTGTGTGTTGATGATAGGATAAACTGGATGTTACTGTATTCTGGTATATATTTGTTACATCTTTTGATTTCGATGCACAACCATTGACAAATGCATGACTATTAGTATTTTGTCTTGTTTCTGTTTCAAATAACGGTCTTACACGCTGTACAATATCAACGGGTACATTATGAATGACGTGATGTGGTTTTTGAGCCGTATTACACGCTGCGATTGTGTCGTTACAATGGACAATAGGTCGTGGATGTTCTTGCTGGCTGGTAGCAGATTTCGTTAGTGAGATCCGAGGTTTCGGTTTCGGTGGTACAATTATCTGAGGAATACTATTTTGAATTGAATGGCAATTTGATGGTATAGAGACTTGACTACTCAAACTTGATTCCCCATTGCCGTCCCTAGAAAATAGATGTACAAATGAAATTGCACACACTTAGAAGCAATACTATTTTTGGAATAGTTTTTAATGACATGTTTTCGGGCAAATCGGTTTTAAGGGGCGAAAATATTTATGTCATAGTTTTTATTACAGATGTACAGAGCAACATTACAACATCCTCTGCCTGATGAAACTTTAACTGAAGACAAAATAAACTGTAAACTTTTAACTAGTTTGAAACGTCAGTCGTGGCATTTTTCCTAACAATATAGTTTAAAGCTATTTACCGCATTACATTCGTTTTGTCTGGCTGATGTTGATGTTGTAGAACATTATTGTGAACATCATTCAATTGTTGTTCACGTTCTTGATGTAGATTATTTGTCAATGAGAGGTTATGATAAACACTTGTTGTTTTACTACTATTTATGTTAAGACAGGTATTATTATTGTTCTCTTTTCTTTTTGTACGATGATGAATAAGTGATTTTTTTTGTTTCGAACATGAAGAGGATGTACTGGATAATGTTGGAGAGATAGACGATGTTGAAGTTTGTTGTGGTTGTTGTTGATCTCGAACTGGTGGTGAATGTCGTTGGTGCTCTTGACGAACAACGTCAAATGAATCAAAAATGAAATTATTTGGTCGATAAGTAAACTGTTGTAGTTGTTCTTGATGACTATTAACATTTATCATCGAACGACATGTTTCTAATCGTGGAAGTGCCAACGGTTTCATTTCGTTTTTCATATCAATGTTATTTTTTAATCGTACAGGGGATATTTTTATTCTTTCATCATGAACAAGTCTACTATTCTGAGAAAGTACAGTTGCATGACTACTTGCTGTTGATTGTTTATCATTCATTTTATACTGTTCACTATTGAAATCATAAAGGTCGTCTTGATTATTATTATCACAATCACGTTTGACTGTAGACTGACCAATAGTTTCTTTTTCTTTTTTTTTTAAACAAATTTCATTGTTACTGTTATTTTCATTGTTATCGTCGTCAGTAGTCTGATAATTGTCGTTGTTCGATTGTTGAACAAATTTTGATGGTGACATGATGTATCCATTTGAAGCTTAATGGATGGGGAGGGGGAGAAAGTAAAAAAAGAAAAAAGAGTGTTAAGCACACACATACATACATCGTGTACTAAAATTAAATTTAAATAAATACTTACCTATTTCGTTTCCATTACTGAATTTCATTATAGATGAGCGTTGGGGTAATGCTGGTTGACCATTGAATCGTGATTGTTGCTGTTTAGTTTCAATGTGAATTTTACCATTTACTTGTTTCAGACTATGATTCAATGGTTGTGTAGAACCATGTTGAATTCCAATATCTTGAGAGCGATCATCCTCACTAGATGGTGTATTATGACCACCGTTGTTGTGATACGACTTATCAACAAGAGATTCACCTCCATTATACGTTTTTGATTGATTTTTTATGAAACCTTTCGTTAACATTTGATAACTGTTTGATGCAAACGTACAATTGGGTTTGCCACGTGTTTGACGAATAATTAACGAACTAGATAAAGAGAAGCTAGGTAAGGACAAATGCCATACGCTTTCTGAAGTTCTTACTGAAAACTGATAAAACACTATAGTATTTTATCGAGAACTGACTGAATAAGATCATATCTACTGTAAATTTTGTTGCTACTTACCTAAATGGATTAGTTCCCGATTTGAGTATATTGACTTTTGATGCTGTTAAAATCGATTTTGCTTTGTTATATTCATCTTCATCATAGAATGTGAACAATAGTGGATAATTATTTGATAAAACGTGGCGAAGAATTTCACTCCATTGCTTTAAAGAATAAAAAATTAATCACATGTATTTTTCTTTTACTAAAAGTATAGTAAGTCTGATATAGACAAGACATTCCATATTACACTACCATCACAAATTTTTGAGACGTTGTTTGAGTGAATAAATTTGGATGAAAACTAACAATTAAATCCGGCTGATAATAGTTAGTATTCTCATGATTAACATAGTCAATATAAAGACCTTTCCACACACTGACGATTAAATGTTCTGCTCTAGAAGAAGAAAAAAAGAAGAAATGAAAGAAGAAAAGGTATATTCTTTTCACTGCTGATTTAGAACCACATGTATAATGTTAACAAGTTGTTCGCAATCTTATAATGCAATCGGTGAAGAAAATGCCTATTCTTACTTTAACAATACATTGTATTTTGAATGTTTTTTTATTCTTGGACGTCGTTGGTTTCCTGTATCATCGGCAATATCGGGTGCAATCAGAATGATTTCGATACCCTAGGAAAAAAGAACAAATTGAAAAATAGACGAAGAAAAAATTTTCTTTAATCTTAACTACATAAGTAAATTTATTTCTGGATAAACTATTCATTCTATCGATGTTTATCAGTTAACTAATGTTCTGCTGACAAAAATAGCAGACGTTTTGAGATGACTTTATCGGATGTATATGTGTGTATGTATGTGATCATTATCATCATTGATTGAAAATTGTTAAATGTATATACATGAACACTGAATGCTAGAAGAATATAGGAGGGAATGTGTGTGTGTGTGTGTACAGATACGATATTTTTTGTCAATAATATATTATATATGTATGCATATCTATTTTCTCTATGCATCATATATGTATTTGATGACATGACATACTATAAAGAGCGATGCTTTTGTAATTTATCATAAAACTATTTAGACATAACATGCAATTAAAGTAATAAGATTCATAACCAAGTAGGCCTGAAATCATCGTCTCGACAACAAGGAAATAGGCATTTTACATAGTGATGATGTCATCAAATTTAAAACGATTGCCTGTTTTTATATGGTTTCACACATTTATTCTTATGATTAAAATTTTGATTGACTTATTTTAAATATCATACGATGCCATTATTTTTAGAAATGATATTTATACATGTCACTAGTCTTCGTCTATTTTTACTACTATTGGAAAAACATTCCTGTCTTCCTTCGTATACTTTTTGACTAGTATACACTTCTTTACAAAAAAACATTTCATCGTAACATACACACACGGATCTAATTGAGCAAAGTTTATTATGTAAAGATAAAAAAACGAGAGAACGATAAACTTTCAATACTTAAACTAAATCAACATAGTCTCGCGTACTGTGTGTCTGTGTCAATTATGACAGAAGTTTAGGTTACCTTATTATTTGGAAACATGTTTATTAATTCTTGAAATTGTTTTTCGATTTTGTCATAGTTTAATTGATCGAGACCATGAGAATGTATGATATGAATGACCAGAGCTTTACTAACGGCATTAATATTAAATTGTTGAAATGTTTTACCGATGGTGATGGGATACGTAATAATATCAGTAACAGCTGCCAATAAACCATCGATAGCGTCTTCTTCTGTCGGCTGACGTTTTTGACTTATGTGATTTATGTTGTCTAATACACGTGCGGTATTCTTTGCAAGATATACAATATCCGATCGAATAGAAAACCATTCAGTCCAAGCAGTAATTTCTGAACATGGTCGAGACCAAAATTCACCACCTTTTGGTAGTGGTGGAAGTGCTGGCAAGGATTGAATAAGTTCTCCTTGAAGAAAGAAAACGTGACATGTCTTTTAATAACTTAGAAGTTTAGCAGTTTACTTTTATTTAAAACCACGTTAATAAAAACCTTACCGAGTGCACACCATTCGAGTTCGGCACATTTTTGCATATGCTCAACCCAATCTTGTCGTTGATGTTGAGGTGAACAGTAATAAATCATTTGACAACCAAAGCAACGACTTAATTTTTGTCCCTGATGCCCACATATTTTGCAATAACGTCGTGTCAATTCTTGTTTCTCTAGACGTTCTTTTATGAAAACCTCAATTGATGTCCAAGTATTGTTGATTTTTGTTACACTTTCCATTTAATTTGATGTACTAAGCCAGTCCATTCCAAGCTCATCACAGATCTAAAAATGGTAACAAAAAAGTGAAGATTCAGTAAAACACAACCCATAATGATTTATGATTGAGAAAATCGTAGTGTCTGCTCGCTTCTCAAGAATGATAATGATGATGATGCAGATATCTCTATATACTAATCGTTTTCGTACTGCGGTATATGTTCATCTGGAAAATATATAGTAATAGTCTTTTCTCTCTCTCTCTCTCTCTCTCTATGTATACATGTAACAAAAAACAATATTTAGTCGAACAGGCGAGTTTGTGTTACTCCCATCATCACCATCATTGTTCTCATCATAATTGAGCCTTCTGTATACTCAAACTGCTACCGTGTTCTCTCTCTTTCTCTCTCTTTCTCTCTCTCTCTCTCTCTCTCTGTTTCTGTTTTTTGTCGCATGTACATTGAGGTGTACATGAAATGTCCATAATTTACTCCCTATAGACTATAGAGGTTCATTGATGAATTGAAATGAAAATATATATTATCCTTCATGTCTATACAATGAGAGCTTTTTTGAGGTGGTTAAAAGAAAAAAATGGAGTATTTTTCCTCTATATTTTCTTCTCTTCCTCTATGTGTGTGTGTGCATGTTGTTGTACATACATGCGTACAATAGTAGAAATATACATTTCGTTTTGGTGACATTGGATGCATAGAGTTCATCACCGTACATTGTATGTGACTTCAGGGGTCAATTGTACAAAATAAAACGAGGTACAGGTATCAATCTCACATAAAAATCGACAAATCTGAAAAATAATATAAAAATAACACGATATTGCAACGGTCAATTGCCTTCAGGTTTCTCTTTCTTTTTTTATTGAAAAATGAGACTCAAACTGTTCTATAGACTCAATGTGTCATAAAAATGAATTGATTTTTCAGAAGTATCAGTATATTATAGAATATTGAAGAAAGATAGAAAGAATATTTCACCTTGCAGCTGCCGTTGTCGATGTTAAGATACTGACGTAGTCAGTTTCAGAGGACCGATATTCTCTATGTAGCTCCCGAATCAAGCATACAATTAGTTCTAAATAAGAGCTGTGTTATTCTTTTCTAGCTCACGAGACTTGATGGTTTTGAGAATAAAATGTTTTGTTTTTGGTTCAGAAACTCTTTTAGTTTGTTAAAGATCTTGTTTAACTAAATGGGTTCAAAACTAAACTAGTTTAATCTATTCTTACTTTTAATTGTGTGGATGTAATATAAAAGACCTATTTCAGTTTAATCTTTTTATTTAATTCAAAATGAGACAGCTTTGTTTTTTTGATTTTACTTTCTTTTCTATTCTCCAATTATAATTTGAATGTGGATCATACAGGTAAACGATATGTACTAATCCTTCAAAAAATACACGGACCAGATGATGATATGTCAGTTTAGTATTCAGTAGCCCATTGCACATCAATTGATATTCTGTTAGAAAATAAATGATTGATAAATGAACTTACAAGGACAAACAATTTGAAAAACGTGAAAAAAGAAAATTCATAACAGAGGGAGTTCTTGAATATTAATTCTTTTTATACAATTATGTATTTTCCTTCTCTTTCTATTTGTCAAACATGGAAAAGTATACTAACATTGATTCAAGAACGTTTTTTTTTCTTATTTCTTTTCTCACAAAGGCATTTCACTTTTATTTTTATCATAAAGAAAAAGAACGAAAAAAAATTTATTTTTCTCATCATAATAATTTTCTCTTTTTTGTTTTCTATTCTCTAATATTGAACTAGAAATGATACATGTTTCTTTTCCATTTCAAAATAGTTAAAAAAGTAGAATTAAGCATGACATACATACACAGGTAGAATATTATGTTAAAGTAATCATTTTTATGAGAGTATAACACAAAAAAATATAACATGCTTTTAATTGCTTTAAGTCTAGAAACACTCGTGGCTAAAAAGTAACTGCACACACCTATTTTTCTTACTCTTTTTATTTATTTCCTTATTCTGTTTGACGTGCGAGGCTATTGCTTCTAATCTTATACTGAAATTTTGATATTCAACGTTAAGCGTTTTATGTGTACTATAACTATTATGCTACAACAAATTTTAACTATTACCATTTTATTCACAAAGGGCAAATAACAGATTGTAAAAAAAGAAAAATTACGTTTACAATACATATATATGTATAAATCTCTAACTCTAACGGTGGAGAGATTATATAAGAATAAAAAACAACTCTTCACATTTACATCTCTTATACCAGTTGAGGCGAGAATTTGAGTTCTTTTTTATTAGATATTTCTTTTTGACATGTAAAAGATTATGTATGTATAAAATGTAAGGGTGAGAGTATATACATCAATACACGACGGAATCATAAAAGGAGCATACATGAAAAAAACAGTTTACAGAATGTGAAAAAAAAAATAAATAAAAAAAAAGTCAAAAAAAGAACATAATCATGCAGAGAAAAAAACAGAAAAAAGAAAGGAATCATTTCTTTTACATTTAAAATTTTCTTCATTAACACAGTAAAAATAAAATCTCAATAGTTTTTATATTCTCGAACTATAATTAAATTTATAATACTTCTGTAAAGAAAATCTTTAAATGAGAAATGTTAGTATTGATTTTGAACAAACTAGTAATAAAATAAAGTTTTTTTTTTTTATGCAAAATGTCCATGATCTTGTCTCTCTATCACAGTCATTCACCAATTCACCTAAAAATTCGATGTTCTTTTCATTCAGTGACTAAATAAACTTCATGAACGGGAAAATTATTCATTGTTTATTCCTTATTTTTATTTCAAAGAATAATGGATGAATATGGAATAAACGATGCAACGCCTTCATCATGCAAAACATGCTGACTTCTATATATATATATATATTTTTATTGTGCAATGTTTGTAATACAAAGCGAGACTTACCAATGTAGAATTTGAAAATTTGTTTGTTTCTCCTGGCCCAATCACTTGTTCGAGGGGTGCGATGAGTACTTGAAAATGGGCCTTCGCCGAGGGCTTGATCCCTTAAAAAATGAGACTTCGGACTCTCGATATAAGTGTTCGAGGAGTTATCGATTTCGAACCATCGGGTTTCAGATAAGTAGCGAGCCCTCGAGAAAAATTCCGAGCTGCCGAACAGAGATGTTCCAACTTCAGAGTATCTCTGTTCGGCGGCTCGGAATTTTTCTCGAGGGCTTGCTACTTATCTGAAACCCGATGGTTCGAAATCGATAACTCCTCGAACGCTTATATTGAGAGTCCGAAGTCTCATTTTTTTAAGGGGTCGAGCCCTCGGCGAAAGCCCATTTTCAAGTACTTGCCGCACCCATCGAACGACTTTTCTCGTCTGCATGGTGAGCTATAAGATTCGATAGTGCTTCATACACTTCTTTTCGTTAATAAAGAAAATATGATGCATCATATCCACTCTTTGCAAGCGTAGATCATTCCAAAAGAAATGTTTCTGTAAGCATCATCAAGAAACAGCAAAATATTCGCAATATCAAGGTAAATAAGAGCTCTAAAATGATAAAAGACAAACAAAACGCAAATATGAAGGAGTTGTGTGTCAAAAAGATAATTACGAATATACCTGTTATATTATGCAACATGGGGCAGAAAGTTTAAAAAGAGCACGATGCCTCTTTAACAGTCATTTACAATCCACCAAAGAACAAGGGCTGTAGTCATGGTCTTTTCCTCAATTTTTTAATATAAAATTCGTCAATCACAAATTATACAAATAGTTAAAGTAAGCAAAATAGGTGAAGACATTTTTTTTTATAGTCAATACTACAGTAGTGCTTCACACATTTTTCGCACATATTTAGCTTAATGATGGTATGACTATAGATAGTAGACTTTATTTTTCAGCAGCACTAGAGTCGATTAGCAATCAGATATACTTTTTCTTGTCTAACTCTCGTACAGATTAGATCAATAGAAAAATATTGTCTTAAACGTCTTTCTGCACGTAACTAACAGGATAAAATTATCATAATATAAAATTCAAAGTTTCAATTATTCGAGGTCAATGAGTTACATAAATGTGAACAAATTTTCAATGATGATAAAATTTGATCAAAATATTATAATGAAAAATGGTATCAATGCAAGTATCATATCGTTCAAAGAACAAAACTATTCATCAACATTTGAATCAAATAATGTTTCTCATTCGATGTTAATAACTACTAAATCACCAACTATATACAGTCAACAAACAAACATTACTAACGTTATTGAATATGCTGTGCCATTCGGTTGTTTAGTTCTGTTAGCATTAATATTATCGATAGTTACTATTCGTAATCGAACTCGTGCTAGTAACATTTGGTCAACGATTCGACGTATGAGAAATACAAACTTGAAATTGTTTGGAACTACACTGAGACGAGATTCCGAATTTAGTTTTCAATTTGATCCAATAGATGATGCATTTAGTTCTAAATCAGTAAATGAAAAAAATGACAATATGCAATCGGAAAAAGAGAGAACAATAGTTGAATCTTCTGTAGTTTCATTTGTATAACTTCTATAAATTTTTATGAATAATTTAGATATTTTATTTTTAACAGAATTTACCCTAGTAAAAATCTTAGACACTTCTTAAAATTATCTTACCAAGATCTTATCCTTTGAGATTTTGATAATATAATCTAAGATCTTATCGTTTAAAACCTTAATATGATTTAATGATTCTACTTTCATTGATCTTTTTGTTTTTCTCTCATTCATCTATATAAGTCACACTGAAAATATGAGTGATATTACGGTTATTTTTCTTCCAGACTCTGCTAGTACTTGGTCTCTCGGTAGTATTCAACAACTATTTAGAGAGTATACCTGCCGCCCGGGACCTGAGTAGGGGCCGGACATTGGGGGGGGGAGGGTATAACGAAAGTTTTTTGTCCGAGATAGTGTAAACTTTATTTTAAATTTCACGTTCGAGGTGGTGTAAACTCTGTTTTTTGCATAG